TTGCTCCTCCCGCAGCGGTGCGCGCCGGCGCAGCCGCCGGGCCGGCCCGGCGATGCGTCGGCGACTACGAGGCGTAGCTCGCGACGCACACATTCGAGATCCGATGTCAAAAAGGTTGCTCCTAATGTGGTTTCCTCGCTCTCGGCCCTCCTTTCCCCCTCCTCCATTCCTGCCCCCGCGGCCTCTCGCGTTTAATTTTGACGAGGGCCGGCAGAAGTCTCCACGGGCATGCTCCCGCAGAAAGGCACTCGGGATTACACGCACGCCCGAGCTGCTCAAGCATGTCGTTTTCCCCGCCGCTGCGTTCGCAGAAAGGCACCCGGGGTTGCACGCACACCCGGGCTGCTGACGCAGTTTTTCTGTTTACTCGACGCTTCCGCGCGCCATCCGCTGCAGGGCGGGGTGCGGCCGGGGACTTTTCCAGCGCCTTCTGCATGCGACTTCCGCACGCAGTACCGCATCGTTTCCTCTTGCTCCTCCCGCGGCGGTGCGCGCCGGCGCAGCCGACGGGCCGGCCCGGCGATGCGTCGGCGACTACGAGGCGTAGCTCGCGACGCACACATTCGAGATCCGATGTCAAAAAGGTTGCTCCTGATGTGGTATCCTCGCTCTCGGCCCTCCTTTCCCCCTCCTCCATTCCTGCCCCCGCGGCCTCTCGTGTTCTTCATTTTGACTAAGGCCGGCAGGAGTCTGCCCGGGCATCCCCCCCGCAGAAAGGCACGACATCACGACATCACGTCCTCATGACACCTCCCATGGGGCACCTACATGGCAAGTGCGATCTCTGTGATGGTGTCGCAACCGACCTCACTTACACACTACACCACGCCGCACCGCACCGCACCGCACCGCACCACACCGCACCGCACACACACACGCACACACACACACACACACACAACACACCACACCACACCACACACACGCACACACCACACCACACACCACGCCACACAACATCACGCCACATCACACCGTACCCCACACCACGCCACGCCACGCCACGAGATCATGACACCACCCACGGGACACGACGGGAGAGCGACATGACGACTGTGATGTCTGTGTTGATATCACAATCGACGCGCCGCTGGCGCAGCCGGCGCCGCTGGCGCAGCCGGCGCAGCCGGCGCAACCAGCGCGACCGGCGCGACCGGCGCGACCGGCGCAACCGGCGCAACCGGCGCGCCCGGCGCAGCTGGCGCAGCCGGCGCGACCGGCGCGACCGGCGCGACCGGCGCGACCGGCGCGACCGGCGCAACCGGCGCGACCGGCGCAGCCGGCGCAACCGGCGCGACCGGCGCGACCGGCGCGACCGGCGCGACCGGCGCGACCGGCGCAACCGGCGCGACCGGCGCGACCGGCGCGACCGGCTCCGGGCGTGGGGCAGAGACAGGCAGGGGGGGGGGGCAGGCAGGGTGTGAGAAGCGGCAGGGTGTGAGGGAGAAGCGGGAGCTGGCCAGGGCATGCAGGAAGGAGAGGCGAGGGTGGGGGCGGAGGGGGATGAATGAGCAAGAGGGAGCTGGGGACCCACGCCCTCGACGTCGTGCTCCTTCCTTCACAATGTGGACCCCCTAAGATCAAGACCACTTCCCCGTGGACGAGCGTTTTATCCCAAGCTGTTTTCTGACTGCCCTGGGGCCTGGCAATGGCCCCCAGATGCAATCAGATCCGTCGGGAGTGTTTCACGACGAGGCGGGTCTGGGAAGGCAGAGAAGCAGGTGGCGGAGGAGAGGGAGGAGGCAGAGGAGGAGGGGGGAGGGGGGTCAGGAGGAGGAGGAGGAGGCGGAGGAGGAGGAGGAGGAAGAAGAGGACGGGAGAGAACGAGGAGGTGTGGAGAAGGAACAAAAAAAGGAGGAGGAGGAGGAGGAGGACAAGGAACAAAGGAGGAGGGGAAGGAGGAGGAGGAGGAGGAGGAGGAGGAGGAGGAGAAGAATGAGGAGGAGGAGTAGGAGGAGGAAGAGGATGTAGGAGGAGGACGAGGAGGAGGAAGAGGAGGAGGAGGACAAGGAGGAGGTGGAGGAGGAGGAGGAGGAGGAAGAGGATGTAGTAGGAGGAGGACGAGGAGGACGAGGAGGAGGAGGAAGGGGAGGAGGAGGACGAGGAGGAGGTGGAGGAAGAGGAGGATGGAGGATGAGGACGAGGAGGACGAGGAGGAACAAAAAGGAGGAGGAAGAGGAGGAGGACCAGTGTAAGCCCAAGAGATATCGACGATGTAGGAATTAACCCTCCCTCCAAGCTCCCTCTTCACAGGCCCATACAACGGTTTATTTCCATTGAGGGAACTGCCTCGGTGGAAGACAACTGTTGGAAGACCCGGAAGCATGCCAAAACATGGTTCTCGGCATTTCAACGCCACGGATTCACCTGACTGCTGCGTCCTGACGATCCGGAACCGTGCCAGAATACCATTTTAGGGACTTCAACACCGCGAACGAACATCATTCTTGCACCTGCATCGTCCTGAATCCTGCCACAACACCTTTTCTGGTACGTGGGTCATGGGAAGCCGTGGAACTCTTCCAAAATGTTGAAACGAATGCACGCGGCGCTAAGGCGAGAACCACATGTTGAAACAGAACGGCCCTCAATCCGCGAAACTTCTGCAATGCTTTCAAACGAATGTGCGTGGCGCTAAGGCGAGAGCCACATTTTGAGAACGACCCGCCCTCAATCCCCTCAACATGTGAAACTCTTGCACATGCTAAAAACGAATGTGCGCGGCGCTATGGCGAGAGACACATTTTGAAAACGACCCGCCCTCAATCCGTGAAGCACGTGCAATTTTTGTTAAAGACAATATGGCGGCGCTAAGGCGAGAGCCACATGTTGCCAACCACCCGCCCTCCATCTGTGAAACGATTTCCACTTTGTAAGCTTCAGAGTCATGAATGCTGAGGAAGTCTCAGGCGAAACGCCCGGCCCGCCCTAAAATCTGGCCTCGGGGTGAGACAGGGAGAAGCTATCTATAAGGAAAACGCATGGAGGAGGAGGGGAAGGAGGAGGAGGAGGAGGAGGAGGGGGGGGAGGAGGAGGAGGGGAAGGAGGATGAGGAGGAGGAGGAAGGAGGAGTAGGAGGATGGTGCTGAAGGAGGTCCGATCGAGCAAGGGCCTTTTCCGAAGCACGGGCTGCCCGTCGAGCGCCCACGGGAAACAGGTTTGCGGGCTGGCGGCCAAGCCGGCCGCGAAAAGCTTTAGCAGCGAGCTGCGCACCTGTCCAACGTCGAGGGGGGGAGGGAGGGAAGGAGGGAAGAGAGAGGAGAGAGTGAGAGAGAGAGAGAGACAGAGAGAGAGAAGGAGAGAAAGATAGAGAGCGAGGACGGGAGGAGGGGAGGGGAGGTAGAGGAGGGGACGACGAGAAGGGACGGAGGGAGGAAAAAGGGGGAGGGGGGGAAGCGTGCCGCGCGCCGCACTTCACGCCGTCGACGCAGCCGCGGGAAGACAGAGCAGCGTTCCTTCCCTTTGTCGTTTCGCCCCTTGTCGTTTCCGTCCTCGGCCGCCTCTGCTGCTCCCCCGCGTCGTCCCCCCTCCTTCCCCTGCTCCCGTTAGCCCTCGTCCTCCCCCCCTCCCGTTTCCCCATCCATGGTGCTCGCCGTCCTCTGCCCTCCTTCCCCCTCCACCTCCCTCCCCCCCCCGTCCCTCCCTCCCCCTCGCGCTCCCATCGCTCCTCGCTCTCGCTCCTCCGCCCCCATCGCTCCTCGCTCTCCTCTCCCTCGCTCCTCCTCCCCTCGCTCCTCCTCTCCCTCCCTCCCCCTCGCGCTCGCTCGGCCGCCCTCCCCCCCAGTCGCTCCTCGCGCTCGCCTCCTCCGCCCCTTGCCATCCTCGCGGCCTCCTTCCACCCCCCCCTCCCCCCTGGGCACGACGCGCCCCAGAAGCTTCCCTCACCAGGTTCGGGGCCGCACATGTCGTGCATACGAATGATGATATACACAAAAATAATAATATTATTATAATAATAATAATACTAATAATAAGAATAACACACATAATAATACAAGTAAGCATAATAACATTAACAATAATACTACTAATATTAATAATGGTAATACGAATAATAATAGTAAGTATAATAATAATAGTAGTAATAATAATAAGAATGATAATAATGCTAATGTTAATGCTTTTCATGCTACTAAAGAATACGAAGAAGAAGCTTGCCGCCTCCAGAGGGTGGCTCAGGAAGTGCGGTGCTGTCCTGTCTTCTGCTGCGCCCCAGGGTGGCGTCGGCCCCTGGGCTGCAGCGGCAGCCGCGGCTCGTGGCAAGCCTCCTGCTGGTGCTCACGCTCAAGAGCGCCAGGAAGCTCGGCAAGACTAGGCCCCTGCCTCCGAGTACCTCGGGTACTGTGCGGGTGCGCCGCTCGGCGTTCAGGGGAGGGGCTGCTCAGTACGGGCTGCACCGTGGTGGTGGCTGGTGCTCCGTCCTTCTCTTGTGTCTCGCTGCCGTCCTTTGCGGACCTAGGTCTTTGGACCCAGGCCATGGTCCATGATCCCTCCCTCCCCCCCTCTCATCGGTCCGTGAGCGCGGGAGGCAGGCAACTTCTCTGGATATGCACTCTGTCGTCTTTGCAAAGGGCGAGGACGGCATGTACCAGCGTTTCTGGCAGTGCGCCGCCGCTGCAGGGCTCAGATCGGAAGCTGACGAATCGCCAATCATTCGATGTACTCTCGCATGTTCCATGCCCGATATTGAGGTTGCCTTGGACAAGAAGAGACTACCCGATCACCCTGATGCCTCGCCCCGTGCATACCAGAGGTATACCGACAAGCTGGATTACTGAGCCAGTCAGTGAGAGCACCTCAATCCAACGGCATATCCTGTGCGACGGGTCTGGGCTCACGGGTACCATCCCCGAGTTGTGTCGTGCTGGTGGGGGGGTGGGGTCGTCTGTGTATCACGATCGTGGGGACCTCCAGTGCACCCTTCACTAACCTGTTCCTATGTGGCCCCACCAGACCTCACAAGCGAGGGAATGATGTGGCATTGGGGCTGCCAATGAGCTCTCTGTGGCCCCTCGATGGAGTACCCAGACTGTGAGAGCGCGAAACAGCCTCCAGCACGCCTAGAAGGCAGCAGCTATACCAATATAAAAAAGTTGCTGACACGCTTCTCAGCAGGTATGCCATCAAATGACATGATGTCATCACAGCCACGGCTCACGCTGTGGATAACGGACTCGGCCCGCGCGAGCTGATTGTGCATGCTAGGTAACAACGAGGCTGACAGAACGGCCTGGCGAGATGCTGGAAGCCACCCACAACCCTGGCACTCGGAGCTCGATCGCATTTCTGATCAGATCCAAGATGCGCGCTCCGTTGTTCCATTGGCCTTGCTGCCAGTCCTCCTGAATGGTCGAGGCTGGGTCTCGACAGCGCACGACACGTTGCCAGCAGTGGGAGGCAGCCGAAAGCTGCCAGCATTTCTCAGCAAGGGTGGACGGGATGCCGCATGTTGGGAGCTGCCAGCGCTACTTGAGATCCTGCGGGCGAGATGAGCCTCCCGGTAGTGGCTGCTCTGGCACGTTGCCCGCTCTCGCCAGCAGCCATCATAAAAATGCGTCTGCGTTTCCGGCTGCAGCGATGGGACTCGTCTGTGCTCCTGCTCATGGCGCCCATCCCAAAACACTTGAGGTCAACTCTGGAAGACGTTTTGCGATTGTGTGATGGGCCTGTTTTCCGCCACCACCACCGCCAGAAGATGGAGGGGGGAAGCAGGAAGAGGAGGAGGAGGAGGACCCCCTCCCCCTCCAACTTATGGTGGTGGTGGTCGTGGTGGAAAACAGGCCCACCAATTGCGCGCTTCAGCCTTAGCCTCGAGCTTGACGAAGCCGGCCTGGGCCACAGACTTGCGAGGGCAAGCGCCCCACCCCGAAGGGCCTCCCCCCGCGAACCGGCCAGCACCCCAGCGAGGCTCGGGTCGGGCGAAAGGGGGGGAGGGGGGTTGAGAATCAGCTCGCGTAGCTGATTTTCCCGGCGCCTCCCGGCGCCGGAGGCGACTATGCATCGAGGAATGGGCCCCTCGGTGAGGCCGAAACCAGCTGCATGCAGCTAATTTCGTAACCCCCCCTTTCCCAATCCCCCCCTTTCGCCCGACCCGAGAGTCGGGAGCGGCCAAGAGGGGGGTGTCCAAGAGGGGGGGGTGCAAATCATGACCGGCGGCACGTGCGCGGCCCAGCGGGGGGGCCAGGGACGCAACGAAATAAGAAGGGGCGCCATGAAATCTAAGAAATTTCATGGCCCCCGCCATGATATCCACCCCCCCCCTAGTCATCGCCCCCCTCTTTTCCGCCCCCGATTTTCTTTTTCCGGCGCGAGAGAGCCCCAACTCCATGAACAACCACGCAGGTGAGCACTCCATGTAGCAACAGTGGCACCGGTGACCCCTCACCACGGGCTCGAAGCCATTTTTGAACCCTCTAGCCGTGGGAGGGAGGAGCCGCACGAGCGACAGCATTCGGAACCGCGCAAGCGCGGGGGATCTACGAGAAATGGCATCGAGAACGCACATGCGTTGTTCGGACGTTTGCGAACAGGCACTCTGCGAGTACACACATATTTATATATACCTATACGACCACCCTGCGGGTGATAAGGAGGTGAGGGGGAGGGGGAACCAACGTCTCACTCAATCGATCTCGCTATCGATCTCACAATCGATCTCACATTCGATCTCACGATCGATCTCGCGATCGATCTCGCTATCGATCTCACTATCGATCTCACAATCGATCTCACAATCGATCTCACATTCGGTCTCACATTCGGTCTCACTGTCGATCTCACTATCGATCTCACAATCGATCTCACAGTCGATCTCACATTCGGTCTCACATCACATTCGTTCTCACTAATCCATCTCACTATCGATCTCACAATCGATCTCACAATCGACGTCATCATCATCAACAACAACACCAACATCATCATCATCGCCATCATCACCATCATCACCATCATCATCATCATCATCACCACCAACCACCATCCTCACCATCAATCATCATCATCATCATCATCATCATCATCATCATCATCATCATCATCATCATCATCATAATCATCCACATCATCATCGGGAACACCGACGGACACCGACGGGACACCAGCGGGACACCGGCGGGACACCGCGCGCCACCGGCCGCCCGGAAGAGACACATTTGGTCCGGCCGCGCCTCAGCCACAGGGACACCGACGGGACACCAGCGGGACACCGGCGGGACACCGCGCGCCACCGGCCGCCCGGAAGAGACACATTTGGTCCGGCCGCGCCTCAGCCACAGGGACACCGACGGGACACCAGCGGGACACCGGCGGGACACCGCGCGCCACCGGCCGCCCGGAAGAGACACATTTGGTCCGGCCGCGCCTCAGCCACAGGAGACTTTCCTCTCGCCCGCCCACGCAGCTTCGCCTCGCCCGCGCGCACGGCACGCACGAACACGAAACCGAAATCGATTTCCTGGTAGGGGGGCTCTCCGTTCCACTTCGATCTCACCCCCTCACCTCCGATATATATATATATATATATATATATATATATACATACATACATACATACATACATACATACATACATACATATATATATATATATAGATAATGGAGCGCGCTCGGCGAGCTGAGGGGCAACGATAGGGGGGGGGCCTGGCATGGGGGGGGACGCCTCAACCTGGAAGCGGCGATGCATCGCCGATGGCTCGGCGGTGGGCCCCCGATCGTGAATCCGCACGCTCCTGGGCAGGTGTGGACTGTGGGGCCCCTGTCGGCGATCAGGTGGCGATGGGGGGTCGATGCGCTCCCCCCCTGTGCGTATCCCCATCGCTGCCCATGAGCAGGGGTCCGGAGCTAGACCCCCCCCCCCCTCCGCCGGGTCCGGAGCCAGACCCCCCCTCCCCCTTCCCGCCCAATGCCCAAACGCCGAGCGAGAAAAAGCTCACACGCACACACCGCCCCCGATCCCCCCTCGAGGGCCCCCTTTTGGGGTTCCCTTTCGTAGACGAACGCGTTCCACTACTACTCGCAAAGTAACTACTCGCAAATGACCTGGATTCGCTGCGGGGGACCTACGATACATCACATCGGGGCAGACATGTGTTTTTCGGACGTTTGCGAGCAGGCACTCTGCGAGTAATTAGTGGAGCGCGCTCGGTGACTTCGGGCCCCTTCCCTCGCTCTCCGGGACTCCCTCGCCTGCCGGCCACGCGGGGGCCCCCTTTTTTGAGGGCCCCCTGTTGAGGGCCCCCTTTGGGGGGCCCTCTTTTGAGGGCCCCCGATCCCCCCTTGAGGGCCCCCTTTGGGGTTTTCAATTACTTCGAGATGGCGTCAAAACCGGGATCTGGTCGCGACCTGAAATCGACAACCCAGAAATCCGTTACCGAGTTAAGCCGGTCCCAGATGATCTGGGCCCTTGAGGCCCCCCTTGGGGTTTCCCTTTCGGGCCATTTCCCTCGCTCTCCGGGGCTCCCTCGCCTGCCGGCCACGCGGGGGCGGGCTCGGTTCCGCGCAGGCCCGTGGGCCGGCGCCTGGCTGGAACCGCGTGGGGGGGGGGCGGGCGCCCTCTCCGGCCGGGCGCTCCCGCACGCGTGCCCCTCTCCTCCCCCCTCCTAGCCCTAAACCTCCTCTCGGTCCTCCACCTCCAAGGCCCCCTCCTCCTAGATCTCCAGGCCTCCTGTCTCCACCTCCTACGTCTACCCCATCTCCAGACCTCCACACCCCCTCCCCGTATCGCCAAACCTCCTCCACCGGCAGGTTTACGGCCCTCCCATCTCCAAACCTTCCATGCATGGAAGGTGTGGACGACAAAAGCGCGAAGTCATGTCCAAATGTGTAGTTGTATGCCCTGTTTGTCCTCGAGTGTCGTGATACGCCGTCCTTGCCTGATATGTCTTGATCTGGCGTCCCCCTCCCCCTGACTGATCGCCCGAAACGTGAGACCTGGGCTTGGAGATCCCAAAACCGTGTGGTGACGGACTGCGCGGTGACCTCGGAACCCCCAGAGACCTCACCGCACGGCCCGTCACCGCACCTGCCTTGGGACCCTGAAAGGCCCCTGTCGCCCGAGACATCCTCGGAGAGGGACTCGAGCCCCAAAACCGTGCGGTGACCTCGAACCCCCACCGACTCTCGGGTCGGGCGAAAGGGGGGGATAGCAAAGGGGGGGGTTGAGAATCAGCTCACGTAGCTGATTTTCCCGGCGCCTCCCGGCGCCGGAGGCGGCAACGTATCGAGGAATGGGCCCCTCGGTGAGGCCGAAACCGGCTGCTGCATGCAGCAAATTTCGTACCCCCCCCTGTCCCAGTCCCCCCCTTTCGTCTGGCCCGAGACTCACCACGCGGCGTGGTCACTGCCCCGTCTGGGGGCCCAGGCAGCCGGCAGCGCCCGCAGCCGCCGCCCGCACACCCCCCGAGGGCGCGGCCCGAGCGCGCGGCGCGAGCGCGCGCTCAGTCGTCGTGCTCCTCGAAGGGGTCGCGCAGGTCCTCCGACGGTGGCCCGAAGGCCGTGTAGATCGAGTAGCCCGTGATGCCCAGGAAGATGGAGGAGATGAACGACAGGAGGGGGATCACCTCCGGGGCCCGGGCCGCCCTCGACGCGCGCGAGCGCCCTCACGCCGTGCTCGCTGGCTCACCGGGGGGGGGGGGCTCCGCGGCCCTGGGGTGCCCTGTCCAGCAGCTGCAGCCTCGCCGAGGGCGTTCTCCCCGGGGGTGCCCCAACAGCGCCCCCGCACGGGCGCCAGAGACTCCGGACGACCGGAGACCGGGCCCTGGGACCGTCCAGGCACGGTGCGCCCGTGGAGGACAGGTCATAAGGGAAGGGGCCCAGACTTATCGGGAGCCAAGGTGTGAAGAACCATGACGTCGCATGTCTGGGGACCGCTTCCTGCTCCTCCTCCGGAGACAAGGAGGAAGTGATCCTTCTCCTCATCCTCATAGTGCCTCCACTTTATTCATGCTTTCTTCTCGCAAATGATCATCCTCGTCGTATGCCCTCATACTACGTTTCCTCC